GTTCAGTTCGTTGGTAATTTGTCAGCAAAAAAAAAAAAAATTTTTTTTGATTAACCCCTCAAGCATCAGCTTCATATTTTTTCAATAATTTAACTTTTATCATTTTACCAAATAAATTAATTGAATCAGTATTTTTATAATCACTGTCCAAGTTATTCCACAATCTTATTCCTTGAACTGAGGCACATCTATCCCTCAAGTTTGTTCGAATTTTAGGTTTTATAAACATTTCAAATCCTTTCAAATTATAACAACTTTCCCTCTTAATAAAATTAGATTGAATATTCAAAGGCAATACACCTTTATGAGCCCTATACATAATCAACACAATCTTATAATCAACTAACTCATGTAATTTTAGTAATTTCAGTTGCTGAAACAATACATTAGATGGGTGACTATAATGTTTTCTGATAACAATTCTTATAGCTCTTTTTTGCAGAATAAAAATAGAGTTAGTAAATGTTTTACATGCCTTAACCCAAATTTCAACACAATAAATCAAATGTGGAACAATTATATACAATAGATTTTGCTATTTTTGTGCTTAAGTAATTAATATGAGGTTTCCAGGTCAGGTTTTCATCAATAATAACACCTAAAAACTTTACTTCACTAACTTTACAGATCTCCACACCATCAACTTTAAATGAAACATCAATCGTTTTTTTCTATTACTGAATATCATATAATTTGTTTTGTCCAAATTTAGTGATAATTTAAGTTTAAACCAAGTTTGTATTTTTTATAAATTCTGTCTGAATCATCCTGAACTTCTGTTCTAAATCTTTACCCAAACAAAAAATGTGGTATCATCTGCGAACAAGACACTTTTAAACAACCCTGACACATTTACCAAATCATTTACGTATAAGAGAAACAACTTTGGTCCAAGCACAGAACCTTGTGGAACTCCACATGTAATATCACCAGTTTAGATCGTACATCATTTATTTGAACAAATTGTTTCCTGTTTGTCAGATAACCAGATACCCACTGTAGTACTGGACCTCTCATACCATATCTGTACAAAAATGAGTCCTTGAATACAGTGTATGTAAACATCTGGTTTTAATTTTAATGTTATTTATTTGACTCTACAGGCTCCAAAGGCTTCAGTGGCGTAGAGTTGAATGGAACTGTTTTGGTCGATGATCATGTCAAGGCCATCCTGTCCAGCCCATTAACAACTGTTTTCCTCCCGGTGGTCTACATCATTGTGTTCGTTGTGGGGTTTCCCACCAATGCTCTGGCAATCTGGGTCTTCCTCTTCAGGACCAAGAAAAGACACCCGTCCTCCATCTACATGGCCAATCTGGCAGTGGCCGACTTGCTGTTCGTCATATGGGTCCCCCTGAAAGTAGCATACCACTTGAACGGCAATAACTGGATCTATGGAGACGGTTGGTGCAAAGTCCTGGTGGCCTTTTTTTACGGCAACATGTACTGCTCCATCTCCTTCATCGCCTGCATCAGTGTGCAGCGTTACTGGGCTGTGGTCGACCCGCTGTCACACAAGCACCGGAAGAACAGTTTAGCCGTTTTTGTCTCCGTCACAATCTGGGTGGTGGTCTGGGTCCTCACCATTCCCCTCTACCTGTACTCTCAAGCTGTGCAGGTGGCAAACCTGAAAATCCAGACCTGCCACGATGTCACCAGGCCAAGCCAGAAGAACATTGCGGCGGGATATTTCCTGACAATGGGAACGCTGGGATTTGTGTGTCCCACTATTGTGTGTGTCGTATCCTACATCTTCATGCTGAAAGCTCTCAGGAACAGCATGGAGGACGTGAACATAGTGAAGAAACGCCAAAAGGCAGTGGTGCTGATCATCACTGTCCTGGTGATGTTTCTGGTCTGCTTCACTCCCAGTAACATCATGTTGCTGGTGCACTACATCCTGCTGCTGAGGAGCGCTCAGAACAACATGTATGGGTTTTACATCACCACCCTGTGCTTGGCCAGTCTGAACTGCTGCGTGGACCCCTTCATTTACTACTTCATCTCTGAGGACTTCAGGAATCACATCAAGAACACGTTCCTCTGCAGGAGCGAGAGGACAGTGGAGAGGATGAGGGTCTCCTTCAGCGCTCTGAAGTTCTCCAAGAAGAGCAACACGTATACATCAGACACACCGAACACACGGAGCAGCGAGTGCTGACCAGGTCAAACATTTCAACATTTAAATAATATAATTACTCTCAGGGAAACCAGAAACTGGATTTTCAGGTTTAGCATGTGTTTGGAAATCTACTGACCTCACATGATGAAATGAACCGGAGAAGGTTTCATAAATTATTTTAAATGTTCTTTACTAGTTTTATTAAATGTACTTTTTGATGTATTTCCCTGTTTTACTTTATTTACCTATGTGAACAGTTTGTTTTGTTTCTTTAAGATTGTTTGGCACCACTTAACAATAAGGTTCCCCTTAAATATGGCTCATAAATAGTTTATAGATAGGTTATTCATCTGTAAACACTTTATAAATCGTTAATAAGTCTTTATTATTCATTAATTAAGGACGGAAAGATTTCTTGCCAAATAGTGAGCTAAACATGTTCATGTATACATCACATCTAAAGGTGCTTATTAAACATTTCAGACTAGTGTACTACCTTGTAAGAACAATAATTTATTGAAAACACATATTTTACATATAATATTGTACTGTATTACTGCATTATACATATCCATAGTAATCAAAGGGAGCCTTATTGTAAAGTGTTGAACAGTATAATAATAATAATGTCATAACAGAGCCTTATGAACTGTTTTACACTTTACAATAAGGCTCCTTTATGACATTTATACAAGTTTATTAGTCATTAATAAATAGTGTACCTACTGTCTTACATTTTACAATAAGGCTGCCTTTGACAGTTGTTAATATGTATAAGTAATATAGTTCAATATTTTTTTATATATGTGTTTCCAATATAGAAATGTGCTTATAAATCTAGTAATATGTACACAAACAGATGTGGCTCACTATTTGGAGAGAAACTGGACAGTTTTGTCTCTTTCCTGCCCTTAATTAATCCATAATAAACATTTATTAACGATTTATAAAATGTTTACAGATGAATCAATAACCTATCTATAAACTATTCATAAGCCATCTATAAGGGGAGCCTTATTGTAAAGTGGTACCG